TTTTTTTTTTAACAAGTTGCAACATGACTAACCACCTGGTTTACTTACTATACTTTTATACTTGCAAACATTCTTTTAATAATATCTACGCATTTATTTCATTATGGATGCAGCTGTATATATGACTCATATAAACCAAACTAATCTACAGCGATTCTAATTTAGAAAGGTTTTGTTTTGTTTACTTTCGTCTTGTAATTGCTAAGATTTTTTTAAATACAGATGTATTTATTGATTTTTTTTCTTCTAGTTATACCATTACTATTTCATACCTCCTTTTAGATATGTGGGATATAATATTACAAACTCATTTCACACTCCACAGGAAAAAAAAGTAGTACACTATATGCATGAATGGAATGAATAATCAGATGAATAGAATACACATTCACGTGGCACCTTTCACAGGATTTCAAAGCACTTTTGAATACTGCACTTTGGAACTTCAGTCACAAACTACTGCAGTGGAATCCCCCTAGCAGTGGCTGGCAGCCATTTTCTGCCAGCACACTAAATATTTTCAATAGGTTTGTATAGCATAAAGGCTTTCCTGTAACATCCTAATATCCTCCCCTCCTGCAATGTCGGGAAGGCTGCAAAATGAACAATTTTATATTTTTTATTAAATAGCTTTCTGATTTCTCACCAGTCAAATTTGGGATGGCTCTGGGTGTCTCAAAATATCAATAGTGATGCAGAAGCTTTAATATCCTCAGAGTAGAAAGGACCTTCATTTAAGATGGACATTCAGCAGCATATGTGTTTCCAAATGCTGTGCCAAAGTATCGATTAAAAACTGAGTGGAAGGAAAACATATTCCCTACTGAGCCACCAACACACTTACTGCAGCACCTGATGCTCTTTGGATGCCACTCATCTTAAGTACTGACCAGGTAAGACCCTGCTTAGCTTCAGAGATCTCACAAAATAAAAGCCCACAGTACAGTAGCACAGCTAGAAACAAGATAAAACAATGACATATTAGTTTTTGTACGATCCAGTTCTTTCTTGATGGAGTACAAATTCTTTATGTAATGTTCCTGTTTTCCTTCTCAGGCTTAATCCATAATTCATGTCCTATAACCCTTATATTTTGGTACAGTTGAATTGTGCAATGAGTGTATGTCAAATACAAAAATAAGCATGCAAAATAACTGCAGAAATGTGCAGTCTGTTGCAAAATCATCTGAACTTACAGCTGTCTGGAAAATTTTAGAGAAAAACTTAAAACATTGATGCCTGCTCAGAACCTAATCTTTTAAAAGCCAGATCCAGAATGTGTCTTTTATGTTAATACTATCAGTTCTTCTTGCCAGTGACCAGAATAGTACAATTTGGCCTCCAAGAACTCATGACAAGACTTTAAACTTCTGTTTTGCTTATGTCAGTTCTTTTGTCATTTCCTTCTGGCTAATTAAAAAATAAACCAATTTTAAAATATGATTTTGTTATACAAAAAAATCTCAGAACAAACATCATAAATTACCTGAAATATAACTATAAAAACACAAGGAAAGAAAAAGAGAGCTGTCACTTAAAGTATAATTTGGCACATGGAATCTCAAAGATAAAAAAGGAAAATCAAAAAGTATCAAATGCACACAAACCCTCTAATAATTCTGTTTACACTGTAGTAGTTTGGCAACTCAAATAGAAAAGTCAAAGGCAAATGATAAATGTAGACACCCATATTATAATTTCTACAAAGTGGCACCTAAGAACAGGAGTTCACATTAAATGTCTTCCTAACTACAAAGTGAAAATCTCTGTATCTTTTTCCCCTGAAAATAGTCTTGGTACACAGCATCTTAGTACAGCATCTTTCCAGAAGATTTTCAGTGGTGGAAGCAAGAAACAGAAATCCTGTCAAGTCTTATTAACTGCCTCTGGCAGCTGAATGCCTGACTCCCATTTTACTAATCCTTATATTACTTTTCAGTATCCCACCCTAACAGAACAAAACCCAAATTCTCTGTCCCTCAATTTTCTTTTCAGTCAACACAAAATAATAAATAGAATATAACTGGCTCAAGTAAAAATGTCTTCTCCTTCTGTGAACTCTCTCCTTGTAAGAAAAAAACCCACAACAAAGGTTC